AACTTAACAACTTCTGTTCAATAACTTGTAATATTCAACAAGTGACATCACTGTAGGAGTTCCATAGTGTGCGTAATTAAGCGCGCCGATGGTGTTGTCTGAATCTAGAAAATTCGAATGTCGGATTAACTTCAATGTCTTGCCAGAGCAGAAGATGGAAGACATTTAGCGGTAGCTGACCGATGTCTTGTGGCGGTCAGTCCTACACTTTAACAGTATCCATTTTCAGTCATAGAGTAACTTATTAACTTCAGTTTACAGGCCTTTTACCAATTCACAGCCTTTTTGATCCTTCCTGCCAGAACAGTGTGTATGCTTTAGCCATTAAGAGTTTACGATGAAGTCCATGCGTTGCGAACCTCGTTGTTTGCATAGCCCCAATTTGAAAAAGAGAGACAGATGGAGAAGAACCGGAGCGGGTGCGCTGATACAGTTGGCTGGTTCAACCCAAACAATGGCTTGGCAAAATTGAGCCATAATACGAACACTTTAGTAAACATGTAATGATGTATGCCATCATTATACGGTAACTGCATCCCAGTTGCGTGAAGGTACGAGGTCTGGATTGATGATGTTTGGGCGTGAGACACATTTGATTAGCCTCCATGGCGCATACACATTACGTGATAAAGAAGAATCAAATAAGTAAAACGGATTAACACGAAAATGATGGAAAAATAGGGCATGATTTATTGAGAAGGAAAATCTTAGAAAACGGAGAGAAAGGCAGTTAACGTGACAGCAGCAGCGGAGGGAAAAGAATGAAAGAATGACACGCATGACAGAGAGGGCTGAAATGCTCCCGGAGAGAAGGCAGGAATACAGCCTTGTTTGCTGCCTACGATGGGGCGTGCCAGTGAATAAAGGTTTGGCTCGCCGCCAACTCGTTCTCCACCACTCGTCGATGCCGGTAAGATTCAAAACAACTGGTGAAAGAGAACTGATACGATCGTTATGATACTGTCTTCTCGTTTGTCGAAAGAAAAAAGGAAAAACGGGCTGGCGCTGCGTCTAACCCTTCTCCTTAACACGCCCCATCACTAGTAGCGGACAAGACTGCAAAATTGTTGCTGCTACGAGAACGTCAGCCACAACCATATACTGGGGCTCTGAGTCCTTTGGTTTTGTTATTCGATTGCTGTGTCCTGAATATGAACCCAGAATTAGCGCGAACTGAAGCGTGTTGAGAAGGGACGGCTATGGCACGATCCTGCACGTGACGGTCACGGTCCTTACCAGGAAATTTTGACTCCCTTCTCCTATGCATGTGCTTCATGTACTCTCATTCTCATTCCATGAAATCCGCTGTATTTTCTAAGAGCAATCGCGGGCGGGGTTGAGAACCGCAATAGACAGACCGTGTACGGACTGTTGAAGCAATGTGCACTTGATCTAGGTCTTTTTCTACACACTCCTTCTCTTTGACCCCTCATTGTAAATTGTTTCTGTTAATGTTCGGGAATTTTCTTTGCCCCCATACATTCATTAGAAGTACTATCCGTAAGGCAGAAGTAATGTTCTAATCCGTGATATAGGCGATGTTAAGAAACGTTTTTAGTGACCTACTAGTTTCACTTCAAAGGACTCATTAATTTCGAGTTCGCCATTTTTTCGCCACATTTAGAAGTAGCTCCGACGTTTTTTGTCTCAAGCTTACTGTAGAGAAGAGTTTGTGCAGTATCGTCAAAGTGTACATATCACCACATATCATGGGACTCACTAAACTAACCTGGTTTTTTAGAAATTGATGCGCACGTGGTGTGCGCTTCTGCTGATCCACTCGGCAGGCGCTCAATTTGGATTCTTTGGTGAGACAAACCAACGTTCATCACAAATCGAAGCACTTGGGGACCAGTTCGGGGTTCGAGAAGCACTTGGAGCATGGAGCAAAGTACTACGAAACATGGCCACCCGGCCACAACTCACGCGCAAGTAAGATTTTCACATTTTGTTATAGCTAAACAAATGGCACTTGTCCGTACCATCTTCTATGTCATCCTGTTCTTGAGACCCCTGCAGTAAAAGTATTTCAGAGTAGCACGCGGTCTCTGGGTTACCCCAGTTGCGCACTTCTTGTATCCACGATGACACGGGTGGGACCTCCTTCTGGGCGCCTGCACCTTCTCTAGTTGTTTTTGTCAGTTCATTAACTACTCACCAAAGTGTAAACTCTTGTGAAATTGCGAAATGGTTCCAGTGCATCATTTTAATAGCAGGAGTCAACAGGTCTTCACAAGGTGACCCGTCGATAGAATCATTGGAGACCTTTGGCGACACGAACTGCTCCCATTCTCTGCGCTATCGAACGCTGCATTTTACTCTCAGCCACAGTGCTTTCCTTTACAAAGAACCAAAAAACGGCGGGTGTCATAGTTCACGTATCTCTATATTTTCTCGGAAATTATTACGTGAATGCAAGCGATGCTCTTCTGGGGAGAGAATCGTAAATTGCTGCTCTGTCGCGCGCCGGCAATGCGCCTGGCGACGTTTCTTTAAAGGCACATTCCGCGATAAAATAAGGCTATGACCTCTCAAATGTGTCGGACGATCCGGAAGGCGATTTTTGAGGCTGCGCTACTTTCAAAATGTGAAAAACGGCAAGAACTCCGCTAGAAGCTGACTAATTAGGCCATAACACTAGACCTATGCGCCCTTATTCCGGCTGCTAGCTACTAGCTAGTAGCCACTATGTTATCTTTTCTCTATACATTTCTGCTGCTTTTTTTCAGATAATGTAGCACTTTTTTTGTGCCTGATTTGAGTTCCGTTTCCCAATTTTCCAATGCGCGCGACGTTCGTTTAAATTGCACTTCTCTTTCGATTGGAGCATCGGACTTCACGTAGAGGAAGACATGGTTGACACTTACGTCTATTTTTGATCATGCATTATCTATTCTCGACCAATACCACCTGAAATCGTTGTCACTAGCGGGGCGCGACGCCGCACGCGACGACCACTATCGCGGCGAATTACGATTCTCTTGCCACGTACCCGCTCTTTCAAAAGCGGCTCTTGATTAGGGCGCTTTCACTTTACTGGAGACCTTCTAATGCTGTCAATACTACTGCATCGGGTTTAGGGGGCTTTAGTCAAAATGTCACAATCAATGCCTCAGGTAGATATTAACCCTACAGTAATCTCTAAACAAATGAATATCGTCATTTGTTGAGTAATTCTAAACATTTTCTATTTGTGACTCCTAACCTGTGGTTAGCGCTGGGTCCACGATTGAAAAAAGTACGTTGACGCACCGCGCCTCAGCTGCTTCCCCATTCATCCGCCTTCCGTTGAGCCGTCCATGGGTGACTGAAAGTGCCACAGCCAGAAGTGCTCCTTCTTTGTGAGAAAAACCCCTTGTCACGCCCGGAGCGTCCAGTGAGTGAGCCAAAGGTGGCACCATAAGTTTCATGGACATTGTTTCCGAAGAAATGAAATTTTATCAGAGGACAAAAGATTGCATCTTCCCTAGCAGGGATGGAGCTGTAAGAAGACCTATGATCTCGGAAATAATGCCTTAGGTACGAGACGGAAAGGATATACCCTCCTCATCCCTGAGACAGGATAGGCGTGGCATCTGGATATGGCATAGGATGTGTGGCTCGTGTGATCTTTCAACCTGAGACAACTGTCATCTTGTTCTGTATTGGACAGAGATAAGACCGCGGTTGCCTCAAAAAAGCACCTCCAATCACCGCCATGTTTATCTAAAGTGAGCAGCCACGCCTACCTCATCTCAGGGATTTCGAGTATATCTGTGATAAGCGGCCCGCAAAAGCAAAGATTGCTTGCATCTACAGTCATAATCCGATTATGCGCTCCTCATGTCTATTGCGGAATAAAGGCCTGGGTTATGGTTAAGGAAATCCGAGCCGCCGTGTGGGCACCAAGAAAGGTGTTATCGGCTGAGTAATGCACACCAACTGCCTATCCGTTGCAATGCTGCATGGCGTCAAGTCGTCTAGCTAGGGAACACTGCTGGAATGCAGGAAACGCCCGCCTCCACCTCAGCAATGAACCACAGCCTTTATTAGGAGAGCCTAGTTTCTCAAAAAATTTCTGTCTTGAGTTGAACATGTTCAGGGTGAATATTAATCCAAACGAGTTCACCATTGCTCCAAATGTCAAGCGAGAAGAACTTGAGAAGGCACTCGCCGAAAAGAAGAAAGGAGATAATATCATCAATGAGCGCCTCCTCTACCTTTTACTCCCAAGGTAAGATTTCGGTGATATTTAGCTGATATCAAAGCTGACGTGTATCGGAGGCGCGTCTTGGCCGTGATGTAGACTCCAAGCAGTCAGCTTCTGACTGGGCGACCGTCGGGGATCCACACCAGAACGGTCCACCCTCATTTCCATCATGAGAAATAAGGGTGGGACGATGCAGGGTGCTCTTGAAATCCTTGAAATGTGGTAGGCGTTACTACGTACATCAGCCAAACGTGGCATTGGTTGCGCTTTTGTGAGATATTTTCATTTTGCGGGAGTTGTAATCATGTATTTTTCCGACAGAAAACAACATGACAGTTGTCTTGAACTGGAAGATCACACGAGTAACTCATCCTATGCCATGTTCAAATGCCACGCCTGCTCCGTCTCAGGGATATGGGTCTAAAAGAGTTGTTCATTTCCATGAGAAAGCTACTCCTCACAATATTCGAAAGATTTGCAGCATTCCTCCAAGGTGAATAATCGGTTTCGTGAAAGGACAAATTTGCAGGATAAAAGGCCAGCCACCTTTCACAACCACAACTCTGCCAACAACAACAACAGCCACCACCACAACGACAACAACAACTACTACACATGCCACCGATACCACAACGACATCAGAAGCGCCTTCAACTACAACTGCAGGAACCACCAGTAGAATAGCTGCCTCGTCAACAACTTCATCGGCAACAACGCTGCAAAGCGAATATTCGGGCAAGGCAAAGTGGTCGGAGGAAGACTCGAAAGAATTCGAGCTTGACAGTTCCGAACTTGTAATTTTTTAATATTAATGCTTTCTGAACTGATCTTCAAAGTGGTCTTTACTATTATTGCTTTCTTTTCGTCCGTTGTCGATCTCATATCTAGAGTTGACAGCAAAATGTTGAAGTGGAAGTATCCACGGACGCAGTGTGAGTGCCGCAGCGGTAGACAGTTTGCAGGTTAGGTAGGAATGTAGACCATGTTCGCATAGGAGAGCACAGACGGCACAAGGAAAGCAGTGATGCTTCTCTCGCCTTTTTCTGTCAGCGCCGACAAATGTCTACCACCGCATCATTCACAACGGAGCCCATTGACACTCCCCTTTGAGCGCTGCGATGTGAACCATATTCACTTTCTGTATGACTTGTTGTAGAGCTTTTGCAAGCAAAAAAACAATTCATAGAAATGCTTTTTTCAGAATATGTTAGAAAGACAATACACCAAGAGGCTTGCACACCTGAAGGCCCAAAAGAAGGAGCGGGAATTTAGACGTCTTATTGAATCTGAACTTGATGCAAAGCAGTCCGACGCTAACGTTAAGACGGTAACTACGACTGTTCCCAAGGTAAGTAAGAACTTTAACCCTTATTTGCTCTGATCATGAAAAATGTTGTGAACGTGTAATGTGAACGCTTAACTATATTTTTTTGAGTTTTTTTTCAATCGATAACGTAGCTAGAAAAACACTCGAAGAATTGGTTGATTAAAACCCATCCTCTCTCACTCGCCCCCTGCCTCTCTTCCTCACAGATAAATTCTGTTCCCATTTCACCCAGTACAGAGTGGATGGATTGCTCTGCGACCAACTCCTAGACTGTGGCATTGGACCGTTACTACCCCCCGCGTCTCTTGGAAATACTTTTCCAAAAGCTTCATCTCTTAGAACTGGATTTCCCCACCGTATAGAAAGCACAAGTGTGCAGCCGGGTGGATTTCGCAAACTCTGCTACTTGAAGGTGCGCGATGACAGCGCTAAGGACTTTCACTTCTCACCTCATGCCATACCAGGTGTAAGGCAGCATTTGGGATACGCGATGACGCGCGTTCACTTGCTGTAAAGCGCTCTAACGCGCATCGACGCGCTGCCACTGCAGTGGCCTCCAATGCTGTAGACCGCGACGCAGCCGCAGACGGGCATCGATCGACGCCGCTTGTGTTTTGAGAAAGTATGTGATAACTTGAGGGTCGGCGCTGCCTACACACAGTTTGTTGCCCTCGTATTCTTCAATACTCTCTAGAAACACTAGCGGCCAACGCTGATCGATGCCAGACTGCGTGCTCAGGCAGCGCCTACCTTCCTATTATCCTATACTCTCTCGAAACAGAGCGACCGGCGCCCATCAATACCCATGCGCGGCTGCGTTCCTGTATAAAGCATTGAAAGGTCAGTGCAGTGGTATCGCGTCGACGCATCCTGATCTTTAAGCCCTGCCGAAAAGCCTATAAAAGTGCGACTACAACATGTTTTTGCCATTGACTTTTCGTCCCTGTTATGCAATTACGCTGACTGTCTTTGTCTTTCTGCAGTGCTTGCTCGCCCACGGTTGGAACTGAATAAATGAATAATAAATGAATAATCCTTTCCTCTAGTGAGTTAAGGCTTTCAAGCTTACTACTGGACCCATCTTTCCAATTACGGAATGTGCCTCGAAGTGCACAGTAAACACTCCTAATGATCAGGAGGTCACTTGGTAGTTGGCGTTGTCCATTGGAATTGCTTTCGCTCGTGTTGAACGTAGGGCCCACCAATCAAAAGAGCTGTGTGTCTCCTCCCACAACTCTCTCAGCCTGAAATATTATAGCATGTATTGTAGTATAGAACTTTCTCATTGGTAAGGCTTGGCTAAATTCTTCGGAAAATAGAAACTGGATCCCCGACATTTGGCACGAAAAGTTCATATAAAAGTCTGATAAAAAATTCTTTCAGGTCTCGTCGACGAAACAGCCAACAACCACGTCAAGCGCCGTTACCAAACCGCGCACAACAAAGCCACCAGCATCTAGCGGCCAGCAATTCACCGTCGTATTTCACACAGCAGGCTTTGAAAAAGAAAAGAAAAATAAGGAAGAAAAATCAAAAATTGAGTCAAAAGTGCTGTCGATCCTCAGCAAGGCTTTGAGAGATTATGACCACAAGTTTGAAGGAATTAGAAGGCATTCGACGATACGAGAAGAGCCGAGCAGTACGCTAGCGCCTGCTGTCGAGCCCACTACGAACGGGATTGCAGAGAGCACGGCTAGTTACCCTACTTCAGTGGAAAGAGTAGCAGAAGTCGCTCTTCGCAAAGCGCTGCAGGAAAAAGAGCAGGATGATGAGCCACAACTGAATGCACCCAGGAAACTATACTCGCTGACTTCCTCATCTGTAGAGTCAACTAAGGATTCTCCTCCGAGTATTCGGGAACCAGAAGTCTTCCCTGCTGCTGCTTCATCAAAACATTCAAAAAGTGGTGCTGCCATGATTGGTGTGGGAAGTGGGGAGGATGCAGTTGAAGTCAATGAGGTACCGATCGAAGATTTTTCTTATTAGTTAGACCATCTAAAAGAAGTAATTTTGAGATGCTATCCTTGATTGAAGCTGACGAAAAGGCTGAGAGGGCAGAAGCTGGATCAGATTCAAATGAAATCAGAAGACTCAGGGAAGAAACCAGAGCCAAGGTTATGGCATTTCTCCAAAGACGAGGTTGGCTGTTTTCAGAACGTGGCTTGTAAGCGTTGTTTTACTGTACAATTTTCAGTGGAAAAATTGACAGCAGAATTAGATCGGGCGAAGGCTTCATCTACCACTACTTCATCTGCGAGTACGAGTACCACTGCAGCCACTACGACTGTGCCGCCTTCTACCAGTAGCACAACCAAAACCTCAACAACTGCTTCGACAATCACTACCACAGCTCCTACAACGACTACAAAGGCATCATCGACAACTACAAAAAAAGAGAACGATGGATCTGAAGAGACGGCATTCAAGCAGATTCCGGAGGCTGAAGAGGAAGGAATCACATGGTGCGTTTGAGAGGCACGCTTGAACCAGTAGACTATTTTTAAAGTATTTATCAGGGAATCTTATTCAATGAAATACTGATGTGTAGTAGGTAGACTTACAAGTACACCGTACTGCTTCGTCTGTTTGCAGGAGCTGATCAGAAGGAAAAGGTTTCCACGACAACACGACAACTGCATCGACAACATCAAAGGAGACTAGCACGTCATCGTACGCGTTCAAAGTAGGTGGAAAAGCGTAACTTAATTTCTTCTTAATTCCTTTCCTGTAGTGGACCTCTTCAAGTACACGGAGGGGCAAAGAAACGATTATAGGTCAGGGGATGAGGATTTTCGCTGAAAGCACAAGGCAGGATGATTAGATACTCGGTCTAAAATGGTAGCACTGGTGCTTTATAGTATAACAGTGACGCAGAGCGAAGTGAAAGCGGCCGGAATCCTGCGAGAAATCCCATGGTATTGCAAGGCACTCGGCGCGCAAGTATACGGCTGAGAGGAAAGCACGTTGCGGACGACGTGTTCTCCGTTAAATGATACATTAAGGATAATAAAAAAAAGTCTCGGTGCACATTAGCTTATCTTTCGGGATGCAGTAAGGGCATTCTACTCAATTCAGAATTGTAGTAGCTTGTGAAAGGCGATATAGCCTATGCAATGACTTGAGGGGTCTATAGTGAATTTTGTGGGAAGCGCCGCCTATCTCGAGTGTCCTCCCCATTGAGTACGTCTCCTCGAATTAATCTGACAACACCTTACTAACCTTATTTCACTTTTTCTCCATTCTGGGCTATTCTTTGATGCCGAGTAATGATTTTCTGTAGCACGCCAACTTTCGGCGCATGCCCCGCCCTCTGTGGGTGGCGCTTCGCAGGTCATGTATGCTCTTTACATGTTGTCCGATGCCCTACCCATCTCTATCTTGACCCGACCTCTCCAAGTGGTTTTTCAGGTCGAACCGAATTTCCGGACAGACAAACAACAAACAAACAGACGAAGCAGATTATATATACAATTTACATTAGAATTCATGATTTCAGTCTTCGAGTAATATCGAGCCTAATAAGCTAGCTAGTGTAATTTCTCCCATCGCTGGTATTATCGACAACATTGGGCCAATAATTGCACCACTCCTACGAGCACGTGCTGCAGCAGCTGCAAAGGTAACTTCTCGGATAGTTTTATGATGTTACTGAAGTGTAAGAGAATCTTTGCAGACTGCCTGGAGTCAGAACATATGAACCACCAGGAAGAGGTAATTTTCGTAGCTCAAAGGCACTGACCGCGATCAGCTGACATCTTCCTTTCCCTACATGAGCGGTAGACAGGCCCGCACAGAGAGCGACTGCACCATTTTTGCGGCGCAAAGGTTGATGGAGGGAGGCGGAGACATTGTCGTTCCTCTCATTGGCCCGACCCATTTTCATTGACCCCGCCCGCTGCTCTGCTATCCGTAATGATAGAAGACCGGCTAAAAGGCACATCGCCAGCAGATATTTTTGACAACGGAAATCAGCTGTGATCAATGGAGCAACCAATCGACCACAACAGCACTCGCTCGGTGATCTCGTCCGACGCTCTCTTTGCTCTTCCTCTGCTCGTACACGTGTGCTCGCAAAGGGGTTTTACTGTGAGCGGTTGAGACCATTTTTTTTCCTGTTTTCTCTGCCCACTATTGCACTTTTGTTGGCATCTTGGCGTCGCTATGTCAGCTGCTACCCCAAAAATATCTGCGGTTGCGCTGCTTTGCCTTTGAGTTTGAAGATATGCGCGTGTTGAATTCTAATCTTCCTTTTTTCTTTTAGATCTTTTGGTACACTCGGAAGCAGAAAACTCAGTGATCGGATATGGTACTCAGCTTGCCCGAGAGATTCTCAATCCTGGTTCTCTGCAACGAGACAGAGAGGTTGAATGCTTCTAAGAAATTTAATTTCACTTGCTCTGTTGAAGGTGCGGCCAGCGACTAGCGGAAAGACCGAACTTCTCTCACCCACGTGGTCCCTTACTACAGGGAACGTAGCTTGGACCGCAATGACTACATTCGCAGTGGTCTGCATGTTTGTCAACTAGGCCCATTGGGACCACGCCGGCCCACGATAACCGTATCGCCGTGATTTCGTCTTTTTCCGGTTTCTCTCCAGACCCCTCTAGTCATAGTCGCCCCTTCCGTTTTGCAGCTTATCTTGAGCACCTTGCGTTGGTCCAAGGTCATAATCAACTGCAAGGAGGCGGGTCATATTGGAGAACATTTTTTTTCACGAAACTGCAGCATGTGGTTCACTGTAGGTAGCAGTGGGCACGCGGACAGTTACTGCCAACGTGCAATTCGTGGAAGGGCGCTGCCAGAAAAAGATTGCTAGACCACATAAAACGGCCTGAGAATCCCATTTGTCCCTTCCACCTTGTCGTTGGACAGCAACAAGCCGCACCCTCCTGCCAATTCGTGGCCTACTGCATTCAACTACAACTGTCTTGATGATGACTAAAAAATCGGTGTCCGATTCAAGCAATCCAGGGACCAACCGCAGGAGCGCAGCGAAATTAAATTACTCGGAAACCGACGATAATGAAGAACGACAGAAATCATAGCAAACGCGCTCCATCGCCAATCGAAGAACCAGTTTGGTCGTGTAAGCGCCAATCGCCGCCTGTGAACGCGGTCTACTGCGCTGACTTATCTCAACCTCCCATTTTCAACCTTTTTGCCAGTACCTACGGCTTGTAGGAAATGCATCAATTAGGACTTCTTCAGAATGAATATTGTCATCCTTTCATTTTAAGGAGAAGGAGAGAGCTTTGGCAGCCAAAATTGCGCAAGCAAAGGAGAATCTCAAGTACGGTGGCAATTCTGGAACAGATGTATGTTTGCTCATGGCCGAACATTAAAAATTCGATAATTAGATTAGCTCTTTCCCAGGTCACGGTCTCCTTCTTTCACGGTCCGTACCATCCCGATCTACCAAGCTCTCAGGCCACCTACTATTTCTCAACCATCGGTAGTTTTTTTTTGCGATTACCGCAGTAAACATTGCAATACATGCTGATGTCTTTCCATAACAGGGACAAGTGAACGCTGACCAACCCAGTCTCCCACCGTTCTTCGTGGCTCCACCTCCTGGATACGCTAGGACCATACTCCGCCACCGCCTCCACCGCCAATACCGCCTCCACCGCCAATACCACCACCACGTTTCCCCGTGGAAGCACCTAGAAGTAAGCCGAATACGTCATAATTGTGTCGCATTTTAGTAGAAGATATATTATGAAGAACTTTGTAGGAGCGCCTTCATCGGAAGTCCAATCTTTCCATAGAATCGACCCTACGACAACGGCAACCACCAACGTTGTTTATTACCCCCGGAAATGAGTCGGATAAGCAGCCTGCGTTTACCATTGAGGCAGCGCCAAGTGACAAGCCATCACCGAAAGCAGCTCCAAAAGGCAGGAATTTCAACGACTTTCCTTAGTGCATGGCCAGGATGACAAAGCATAGAAATTCTCAAAAAGTGTTGTGGTTTCAGGGCCAGACAATACTGGCTATGAGAGAGGGCGTTCAGATGTGAAGACGACATTTATGGAAGACTCGGGTGATTTTTTTGAGATTTGTGTATCTTTGAATCTGCATTTTGAACAATTACTTCTGTAATAAGGGCGATGTGGGCGCTGTCCAACTGTTTCAGCCCCAGAGGACCATGAAAGTTTTTGATGTAACCTATAGATGCTGCCCAGTACCCTTTGCGAGGCGTACGTACAATCCGTTTTACCGTACCGGGTATCGTTTGGCGTTACTTGGCAATGTAGCGGCACCAACACTTCACCAAGTTTGCTGTAAGCTCCAGCCTGGCGTAAGCGAGGGACCTCATAAAGAACATGTGTATTTATGACCTCTATGCCGAGCTCTGCTGAGCCTGTGGGAGGGAGTTGGGAGCAGAGAATAAGCCCTTCTCTTACGCTCGGCCTTACCGAGGCGCAAGCTTCCGCAGTGAGCGCGGTAGTCTAACCGAGTGCTCCACTCGGTTAGACTAGCGCTCGTTCGTGAGCAGGATGCCCTAATACGCCTGATATGCCTTATCCGTACGTGGGTTTATGCACGTTTAGGTGAGAATAGTAGTGACATTCACTTGCACCAAATGGCACCGATACCAAACATAAAAGCTTTAGCCTGTGGCCAGGCTTCCAAACAACTCATATCGATGAAACTTCAGCTAAAAAATTGATTCCAGGTTGAAATATTTGAATAGTGCTCTATTGTGAAACCAGTAATATAACCGCTCTCCTTCTAGGAGTAATGTTGGGAGGTCCAGAAAACAACAGTTTATTGCCGCCACCCACTCAAAGTTCACCTCCAAGTTTCGAGCAATTAAGAAACGTTGGAACCGGAGGATTTGGAGGTTTGAACTAGCGATTATTTGAAAAACATGTTTCCAACAGTATTGCTTTGAGCCAGATTTTCACTGAGATTCTTGTGACAGCAGATTGGGCTGGAACTTTGTCTCTGGAAAAGTTAGATTCCCGAATGCTGATATGGCTTCCGCTTAACTCAAGAACCACGTGTTACTACGTCAAATGGATGTAGTGCTCGTATTCAGAGAATCAAACCACCACTGTGGACACGTTTCCAGTTGGTCTGGTGGTGTGACCCGTTTTGCCGCCAGCTCCTGTTGCGCGAACGCTTATGTACCTCAAGCTACCATGGGGACAAGCTTCCCCTCACCCCAAAACGGCTTTCGAAGCGAAGTTGTATAAAGAGCTGCTTTGAGCGCTCTAGCCCAGCAAGCGGTAGGTCTAGATTGGAGCCCGGTGGGGTTCAAGTCTGCCCATCGGTCAGCCTTGTTTCGACAACTTTCGGATAGCGAAAAGCTGTGAAATACTGCATTATCATAATAAAGCCTGCCAAGAACGAGTTGCCCTTCCAATTTCGCGATTCACTGGCGTTAGCGGCCAAACGGCTTGCCGAACCTTCTGATCCTTTTCCCTGAAAGCATGACTGTGGCCTTGTTGACGCCGATAGCACGAATTCAAAGAGGGCCAAATTTGGAAATTCTGAGACTCCGCAGAAATTGTTGTTTTCATTTCTATAGATCCTCACATGACAGGGTTCAGTGGTGGAACTATGGCTGGGCTCATAGCAGTATTTCTAGCCGCTACTGTAGATTAATGGCGCTGATGGAGCAGTCAAAAACGGAGCAAGTAGCGCTTGAACTTCAGTGACTTATGACTCTTTAGGAGGACGTCATCCGACAGAGTCCTTCGAACAAGCCGCTTCATCGTCCGTCGAGAACAGCTCGCCCTTCCGTACGGTCAGGAAGAGAATGAGGAAGCATTAGCTGTACGTGTAACACTGTGAAACTGGTCGAAATCGTGCACTATCACTGATTAATAATAAGCTGATTTTTAATGAGAAATAAAGGTTTAATATTTGTATTATAGTGCGCATTTGCAAGCGGAGCCAAGCATATATACTCCATATCCCGAAGTTGGGAAGGGCGTGGCTACGTCCTCGAGGAAACACAAGCGACTTCTCAAGATTTTTCCATACAAGGCAACGGTAGTTCTGTCTCGGGCCCAGATGGCGTAATCACTATTCTTTGGAAATGGCAGTATCTCATCAAAAGTACAAAGTCAAACTTGTGAGGAAATACAATTTCATGGAAAAGTATCAACGGTGAAATTCTAGTGGTTCGCATCGATCGGGATAAGAAAAGTAAAAAGAAAAACAGGCCGGAACTAAGAATGGCACGTCCGGTTAAGCCCATTTAACCCGTGACTAGTCACGGAGGCACCGAGAAGCATGTGATGTGTTCCACTCAGTACGGCAAGCAGAAACTTGTACCAGTGGTGTGATGTTGTATTAATGTATTGTTTTAAAAAAAGGCGCTGTAATGGAAAATGTTTCGATACAGGTAAGCCTCGTTGACAAACATCGATCATTCGGACTTTGTCAATTTCAGTATATTGTCTCAATTTCGTTTCCTTCGCCAGAACGTATTAACACTTACCGTAATCTGATTTCGCAATCTGCTGGATCTGCCCTCTCAGCTCTGAGAAAAGTGGGCTTACCGAAGGGGCTCGATAGGCCCATGGGGACGTGGTTTTAGCATGCATGTTACGTGTGCTGTGTGGTCTTCCAACTGCTCGTTCCTCTGGTCTCTAGTCCTAACGCGCAGTCTTTCTTCATCGCGCACTTGCCTGATGCTCAAAATTGGGGATGATTTACTACTACAATTTTTCTCTGCTCTTCTCCATTATAGGTTACTTGGCACCTGCAGAGTTATTTAAGCCATAAGGCTTACAAATTTGGAGAGTTCTTGTATATTGAATAAGACATCAATCTCTGCCAGATTAAACGACATTCCCTCCATCCGAACCTTTGTTCGCTTTGCAGTGAAATGCGTCAAATGAGAGAGAGAACGCGCCTGATGAACTCTGACTCTATTTTACACCTGACAAAATGGATAGCATTTATTTCCAAAAGGTGTAATAGATTCGCGATCACTGGACACTTTGTCATTCTCAGATGGCCGATATACGAGATTCCAAGCCTGAAAACTGTTAGCTAGTAAGCCGTTCAAGCACACTGCGACGTAAATATTAGTTATCACGACAGAACAGCTAGCTAGTAACTTTTATGGAGCTTTTTGAAAGAAAAAAAAACAGTGAAGCTCACTAAGAAAACAACCTACTTTTCTCCGGTGTCCTCAGTGGTCATTCCTTGGGAATGATCCTTGTTTTCTTCACTGATGACGCATTCGGAGGTTATGAGTAGAGTCCCCTATCTGTATGAGAAGCACCACGTCCGTAGAAAGTTAGAGTTACTCGCGAAATCAAAAGTCTGTTTCAA